TAGATCTACTATACCTGGATCACTTAATGTGATAGTTTACTGTGTAGTTGGTAGATCTACTATACCTGGGTCATTTAATGAGGTAGTGAACTGTCTAGTTGGTAGATCTACTATACCTGGGTCATTTAATGAGATAGTGAACTGTCTAGTTGGTAGATCTACTATACCTGGATCACTCAAAGTGACAGTGAACTTTGTAGTTGGTAGATCTACTATACCTGGGTCACGTAAAGGGACAGTGAACTGTGTAGTTGGTAGATCTACTATACCTGGGTCATTTAATGAAATAGTGAACTGTGTAGTTGATAGATAAATTATTCCAGGGTCACGCAAAGGGATAGTGAACTGTGTAGTTGGTAGATCTACTATACCTGGGTCAATTAAAGTGATAGCGAACTGTGTAGTTGGTAGATCTACTATACCTGGGTCACTAAATGTGATAGTGAATTGTGTAGCTGGTAGATGAACTATACCTGGGTAATTTAATGAGATAGTGAACTATCTAGTTGGTAAAACTACTATACCTGGGTCAATTAAAGTGATAGCGAACTGTGTAGTTGATAGATCTACTATACCTGGGTCACGTGAATGGATAGTGAACTGTGTAGTTGGTAGATCTACTATACCTTGGTCACTTAATATGATAGTGAACTGTGTAGTTGGTAGATCTACTATACCTTGGTCAATTAAAGTAATAGCGAACTGCGTAGTTGGTAGATCTACTATACCTGAGTCACTTTATGTGATAGTGAACTGTGTAGTTGGTAGATCTACTATACCTTGGTCAATTAAAGTGACAGCGAACTGTGTAGTTAGTAGATCTACTATACCTGGGTCACTTAATGTGATAGTGATCTGTGTAGTTGGTAGATCTACTATACCTGGGTCACGTAATGTGATAGTGAAATGTGTAGTTGGTAGATCTACTATACCTGGGTCATTTAATGTGATAGTGAACTGTGTAGCTGGTAGATCTACTATACCTGGATCACTTAATGTGATAGTGATCTGTGTAGTTGGTAGATAAACTATACCTGGATCACTTAATGTGATAGTGAATTGTGTAGTTGGCAGATCTACTATAGCTGGATCACTTAATGTGATAGTGTACTGTGTATTTGGTAGATCTACTATTTCTGGATCACTTAATGGTATAGTGAATTGTGTAGTTGGTTGATCTACTATACCTGGGTCAATTAAAGTGATTGCGAACTGTGTAGTTGGTAGATCTACTATACCTGGATCACTTAATGTGATAGTGAAATGTGTAGTTGGTAGATCTACTATTCCTGGATCACTTAATGTGATAGTGAAATGTGTAGTTGGTAGATATACTATACCTGGGTCAATTAAAGTGATTGCGAATTGTGTAGTTGGTAAATCTACTATACCTGGGTCACTTAATGTGATAGTGAATTGTGTAGTTGGTGGATTTACTTGTCCACTTATTACAGGTGGTGTTGATCTGTATCCCAATACGTCACCATATGCCTGCATCCTATAGACTTCATATCCATACTGTAGTATACCAGATTGGTCGTCATGCCAACCATTATACTTCACAGTTATACTACTCTATGTAGACAAATAAATTGCAATTTTGTTGCAAACTTTATAAACATATTTGAATGAAGGTCGGGATTCCCCGATACGCCAGTACCATTTATTGCTATTAATAAATAATGTGCGTGCTACGAGATTAAATTATGTTTTCCATATCAAAGTCAAATATATTTACCAACACCTGCTAGCTGACAAAGTTTAAATTCAGCACTTCTCATGTAAGTAAATCCAGTAAATATAGCAAATTAACTACAATTAACTTTTTAATACATTGAAATATACCAAGATCTCGCGTCTGTTATTTACAAGGGAGGTTAATTTAAATCATGCGTCTATCTTCCTCTTTGCCATGTTATCCTGCGTGAACAAAAGTGCCTTATTAATTGACTTACAATTTTAATAATCGCCGGGCCCCTATCAAGCATATTTTCAAAGCAACTTCCGGTAACTGTACAATGTTCTGGTGACTTATAATCCATGTTAAAGTCCACGGTGTGTGCTACCTCCATTCCTGTATAATAATATTTCTCAGGTTCAATCGTATCGTTGAAAATCACGTCATAATTACTTATCGTGATATATCCACCATTGCGAGCCTTTGTCATCAAGTGAAACCTGTCGGAAAGCAATAAATAATTCAATTCAGAAATTTCAATTTGAACGATATAAACTATTAAGTGCAAATTAGTTTGGTCTGATGAGTTCGATAATGTGTGCACTGTCGATTTATTTTATTTTATCTAAATATTTATCTCAATTATTAGACGTACCTATCTTCATGTTGAAAAGTAAAACCAATATTATCTATGACGTCACATTCGTACATGCCTTGGTGAGGATTGTCTTGACTGTATCCATTAGAACACGTGTCTGTTCCAGTTTTTACAATACTCCCACCTAGATGAACACATTACCGGTGTAAAAGATGTTATTACAGATTTACCCACATACTCATATATGCGTTATAAAAAAGAACTGACAATTTGCATACTATAACCTACCTCTGGTCACCCACCAATCAAATGATGCTGAAATGACGCCCACTTTAAAATCATTGACATAATACTGTTGTGGCCAATCAGCAGCGTCAGGCCCTGTGTAACTGTTATGCAACTCAACCTGTATACGATCTGGTTGGATATTAGTGTAAACAGTTGTTGTTGCTGTCACGTGATCGTCACAGTCGGCGTCTGCTCTGTAGTCACCTGTCGTCTGGATCAGTGTAGCCAAGCAATGTTCCATAATGGGAGATGTAATCACTGCAACGACACAGTTTATTGGTAGATGAATAAGTACAAAGAACATTAATATTAATATATTCGATTAAATGTGTGTGTGGTGCGTGACAAGACCGATATGTAACTTTAAAAACACCTACTTTGTAAGCAATTATGACCACTGAAGTGTGGTGCACACTGACACGTTGAGGGCGTAGTTGTACATCGTCCTGGGTAACAAAACTGACTGTCCGACCGCCAGGAACATCTTTCTGTAACAATAATTGTCGTGTTGTTCTTTTATATATGATTTGGTTTCGTCGAACATTGTTGTCAAAACATTAACCGTATATCGTAATTGCACCGGTCTTGGTGTCTCACAGAGTGACTGAGATGAATTACATGATGCCATCGGCGCTATTGATGGGCGTGATTTCGTGTAAAATAATGCTGCTGTGTGTGATATGCGTAGTATAATCGAAACTTACGTTCACATGTTCGATTAGGATATCCATCAGAATCCATCAAGTGGTATGCAACAATGTCGCCACCCCTGTCGTAGTCACATCGTTGGCAGGCATGGTCCGTCGCTGACGTGCAATGTAACTGCTGGCAGTTAGCAATAGCTGTGCAAGCTGTAAGACATAATATTAGAGAATAATCACTACGCACTGTTATATTCATTGTAACACACAATAGTATAAAGAATATCGCCTTTTCTCCAATAAATACATGCCAGACTAGTGAGTGTCAGCGGAGGTAGAAAATTACGGTGGCCCATATGTACAATTGGTCCGCTACATGAAAGTCAGTCGGCTACTTGAAAACTGCTCGGCTACTTGAAAACTGCTCCGCTACATGAAAATCGGTCGGCTACTTGAAAACTGCTCTGCTACATGAAAATCGCGCCCTTACATGAAAATCGCTCCGCTACTTGAAAAAAAATC